TATCAAACAGAATAGTTGACACATAAAATATAATTACTAAAACTATTTGCAAATTTTGTAGTATCATCTTATAATTAAAATACATCATGTTTATATTAGTTAGTTATATTGAATCAACCTAATTTCAGGGCTTTTAATTTGTCAGGAAAGGCAGTTAATACTTCTTTTTTAATATACTTACAGTCATGAATGTTTGTGTTTGACTGCATCAGCCAACAAATGAAAGCATGAAAATATGGATCAAGAGAATCACACAGTGGTGACTGAGTTTTATTTTTCTGATTTCCCTCAGCTTGAGAATGGGGGTATTTTATTGTTCATTCCTTTGCTCTTCATTTATATGTTCATCATTATTGGAAATTTTATCATCTTCCTAGCTGTCCGGCTGGATACACGTCTCCACAATCCCATGTATAATTTCATCAGCGTCTTCTCCTTTCTGGAGATTTGGTACACCACAGTGACCATACCTAAGATGCTCTCCAACCTAGTCAGTGAACAGAAAACCATCTCCTTTATTGGCTGCCTTCTGCAGATGTATTTCTTCCACTCTCTTGGGGTCACAGAAGCACTAGTACTGACAGTGATGGCCATTGACAGGTATGTTGCTATCTGCAATCCCCTACGCTATGCAGTTATTGTGACCCCTCGGCTGTGCCTCCAGCTCTCCACTGGCTCTTTCATCTTTGGCTTCCTTATGTTACTTCCAGAGATTGTGTGGATTTCCACCCTTCCCTTCTGTGGTCCCAACCAAATCCATCAACTCTTCTGTGACTTTGAACCTGTGCTTCATTTGGCCTGTACAGACACGTCCATGGTTCTAGTGGAGGATGTGATCCATGCTATTTCCATCCTGACTTCTGTCTCCATCATCACCCTTTCCTATTTAAGAATCATCACTGTGATCCTGAAGATTCCCTCAGGGGAGAGCCGTCAGAAGGCTTTTTCCACGTGTGCTGCCCACATTACTATTTTTGTGCTGTTTTTTGGCAGTGTAGGCCTCATGTACCTTCGCTTCTCAGTGACTTTCCCTCAGTTACTGGACAAATCCATTGCACTGATGTTTGCTGTCCTTGCTCCATTTTTCAACCCTATAATCTATAGTCTAAGGAATAAAGACATGAAGGATGCCATCAAGAAAATTCTCTTTTCTCACAAGATGTTTAATGATTCTAGGAGTTAGAGTTATATACAGTTGTTTAAGGTCATCATCTCCATTTTTTTCCCCCTAATCTCCAAGCCTTAGTTTACTTACAATTAGTAGTGAAAAGTGTGGAACTTCAATCAAGTATGTTTGTTTGTTTATGATTTTTTCCTCTACACTAATGAATTAATTTTTGAAATTGTTATGTACTTTCTGTTTTCATATTGTCAATTGAGTGTTAATTGTCCATGTTTTTAGTTTATGAACTGTTATTTGCTCTAATAAAGTTTTTTGTAGACTTAACAGTTTCAATATCATTGGCAGATTATAATAGAATATTTTCTTCAATTTTAACTCCATATGGTGTAATGTTATTATCACCAAATCAATAAAGAATACTGAGCTAAAGGAAAATCGTATGTATTATTTGAATGTCTGTGTAATTTTCCCACATACTCTTTTATCCTATGCTCACAATACCTTTATATCAGTTTTTAAATTTTTTTTAAAGATTAATGGGATGTGGTATTGACTTAAATAAGAATCTTTGTTTCTTAACATTGTTCTCTTAATACTTTTAATATAGATTATATTTTATTACATAACAGTGATGCTTGCACATAAAACTACTAACTTCGTGGTTTTTTATCATATTATTATAATTTCCAGCTCCTTTGTGAGGTGTGTTTCACATTGTTTTGAAGACTTCAGAGCTAATACTTTTAGGAGTTTGAAGACTATATAAATATAACGTTTAGGCACAAGATCAAACTCTAAAATGCATAAATTATACAAAAATATATAATTCTATCTTCTTTTCATTTCTGAGAAAATAAGTACTAAAATGTAATAATTTTATGCTGTTGTTGTTATGTGCTGTTGAGTCACCTATGACTCATAGTGACCTTATATACAACAGCTCTGAAGGCTACCCTATCCTGAGTCAATCTCATTGTCTCAGAAAGACCTAATCCCACTTCTCCAATCACTGAGTCAATCCATCTGAGTCTTCCTTTCCTGTGCTGTCCCTCCATCCCTCCAAGAATGATATTTTTCTTGAAGGACTGGTACCTCCAGGCTACATGCTCCAAGTATGTGAGATAGAGCTTCAAAATCCTTGCCTCCAGGGAGGAGCTTGGTTTTACCCTCTCTAGGACTGACTTGTTTGTTCTCCTAGCAGTCCATGGTACGTTCAACACGCTTCTCCAGCACCTCATCTCAAAGGCATTGATTCTTCCTATCATCTTTAGTCACAGTCTAGCTTTCTGACACATAGCAAGTAATTGTGAAGAACATGGCCTGGATCAGGTGCATCTTAGTGTCCGGACTAACATTCTTTCTCTTCAGGACTCTAGAGAGGTCATTGACAGTAGATTTTCCCTATGCAATTTGTCTCTTGATTTCCTGATTGCTGGTACCAAACAAACTGAAGTCACGAACATTCTCAGTCTCTTCATCATATATTGTGAAGCTGCCAATTGGTTCAGTGGTGAGAATTTTTGTTTTCTTGCTGTTGAACTTCATATTGATTGAAAACTACAGTTCTTGACCTTTTACAGCATATGCTTCATGTCCTCCTCTGTTTTTAGCAAGCAAGGTTGTATCATCTGCATTTTTTGTGATAGTTTTATACCTAAATGTCTTTGTTCATATTGCTTTTCTGCTGTGGTGTATGTTCTTGCATTTTCTCTATTGTGGAACTCCTACTCATTATCATCAAGTTAATTTTGGGTCATGGCATTTCTCCATCGAGCTTCACAAACCATACTTTTTTTTTTTTAAAGAAAGTGATGCTCCCAAGCCAAAGGTGGGCGACTTTAATCCGTGGTGCTCAGGCCTGATTTAAATTTTTTTTGTCAAACATGCTTCTAGGTCCTATATCCCTGGTCTGCCCATCTACTGTACAGAGGTAACTCGTGGTTGCTGTGAAGCTGAACACTTGTGACACTGATGTGTCAAATGTGATAATGGTTAACCATGGTGGACAGTGTTTGTTGGAGCTCCCCGATTAAAAGAAGCTTGGAAGTAGGAGTGGCATCCACTTCTGAAGTGGAACAGTGCTCAGATCTTTCATTCATAGAGTCGCTATGACTTATCTACAACTCAACAGCACTTAACAACAACAATAACAACATATTAATTTACTTACAAAGTTTGCATACATTGTGTTTCACACTGTTCTTAATTCACATTGTGTTTCATACAGTCGTTCGCATGGATTATGTTTTATAAAATTAATCACCATTGGACTATGCTGATTATTTTGTTGTCTTTTCAGGTCCCTACTATATCTTTTCCATTTTAGTCCATAAATCTTTATGGAAGGAAACTGTTATCTATCTTCCTTAGAGCAAAGTTTCTTCATTGATGGATTCAAACTCTTGTGTCTTATTGATTAGCACAATATGTAATGCACTTTTTCTCTATTATGGAGCTTCTACCCATTGTCATCAAGAGCTCTTGGTGGAATTCATACTTACTATTAAAAAGTAGAGTTTTCCTTATTTGGGATAAATGTCTCTATTTTTGTCATAAATTATGTTACAAGTTTTATAGGACAAGAAAATAAATGTTCTAGAAACTAACCCCCCCCAATACATGTGGAAAAAGACAAGGACAGAGGGCAATTTTCGGTGTAAATTCTTGTGTTTGAGGCTTTGAACTAACTAGAACATTGGTAGCTCTGATATATTAGAAATTCTGAGAGAGAAAGATGAGGCGTTTTAATTCTGTAAAAATTTACAACTTTGGAATCACTGCAGACATATCTACCCCATCTTAAAGGTAGTAGAGTTAGAATTGATTTAAGTTAGAATCAAGTCAATAACAGTATGGTTTTGATTTTAAGGTAACTTAAAGTTACCAGTAACTCAGCCAAAGATTGAAAGAAGAGTGAAATGTCAACAATGGAATCATCAATCCTATAAGGCAAAGTAAAATGAACACAAACATTACAATAATTTTGAGACGGTTCAGGACCATGCCATGTTCTACATGTTGTTCATGGATTTGTTATGAATCAGTTAACTTGATGGTTCTTAACTTATTAAGGAGACTAGACAGACCTTGGAAAATGTCATTGTGTTTTCAGAGGGTAGTAGAATTTTTAAAAATCCTGATCCTGTTAAAAGCAATTCTTCATAAGAAGGAATAGACATATAATCTACTGATTCTGAGAAAAATCTACTAACATTCTAGGAGTTCAAGGAGAACTAATGAGAAAAGATCAGAGAAGGTTTCTATTAATTAACCCAGGGGGAAATGGGATTGCTTAATTTTTTTTTCTAGACAGAAATCCCCAAGTAGAGAAATTTTCCCTAAGAAGCTTATAAAAAGAGATATCTAGGTCTTTCCTACTGGGCTAATGAAAACTTACACTCCATAGACTGCAGAGACCTTGAAAGAGAAGGGATCAGAAGAGGTAAGATGAATATGCACGTAGATCCAAGATGAAGTCTTTTTCTGGGTCAAGAAGCAGGTAAATTGCCTAGTAGAAAGAGGGAAAAGATATTTATCTGCTGTTTATTTTGTTAAATATCTCTATTTGGGGTCACACTTCAGATTGCTTGAGAGTCTGAATGTGCACAGGTTAGAGGTTTGAGAAGGAGATATGCCTGTAGGATGAAATTCAGTGATAATATTATATTTCATCTGAGATATGAAAAATTCAATAATATTTTTTTTCTATTCACGATATTACTTTTCTGATTTCATACTTCCAGAAGTCTGTAAATTATTTTAGATACATTAATCCACCATTTCCCACATTGACACCTGACTGATCCACATTCAACAAATATATATCAAATAATATCATAAATAAAGAGTGGTCTGATGTGTCAAAAGAAACTGTTTCATGTAAAGTGTTATCCCAGAGCAACGACTCTTAACAAAACACCATCTCTTCCCAGATCAAATTTTTATGTACACCTATTTCTCAGTAGGATCCAGTTGACTCTTATCTCTCCTTACAGTTTCTGGCAGATATATGTTGAATTGGAACGTAATCATTTTCGAGTAAAATATGATTTTGTTAATACATAGATACCCAGATTCCACTGGAAAGATTGACAGCAACCATGTCATGAAACCAACAGGGATTTCAGCAACATTTCAGACTAATTGTGACTGTTTTATATTCCAAAATGTCTCAGTTCTCATGAGTTAGTAGTAATTATCCTTATGCAGATTTAAAAATTAAGATAGCTGTTAATATTTGGCCTTTCCCTTTGACTCTTTTCATTATGTATATATGTTTGTATCTGAAAGGATGGCATTCTTTTACTCCCTTACCCTTTTATTGCTATACATTAAGCTTTTATGTCCATTTTCTTTATTGGAAACTTTTGCAAATACATTTCCTTGCTTTTTCTTTTTTTTCAAGTATTAATCACAAATTGACATTTTTCCTTTGGATTTTAGGTCAATCCAGTATCTCATTGAACCTACTCTTACATTGTTTCTCAGTTGTCTCCAAGTATGTCCATTCTCTTTTGCTAAGTTTGCCGAATCCAAGTAGGAATAACTCTCTTTTGATTGATAGATAGATAGATAGATAGATAGATAGATAGATAGATAGATGATAGAAAATAGATAGGTAGATAGATATACATGCATATGTAAAGAGATAATATATATGTGTGTGTGTGTGTAAGTCTATGCCATTATCCTTCTCTGTTTGATGTGGAATTATAATAAAATTTTCTGCTGATGTTTCTTTCACTTGGAGATGAAATTTGCTTAGGCAAGAACTCCTGTATCTTAATTCATTGCCATGGAGCTGGAACTAACTTGCAGTTGAGCCCTCAGAGGCTGACTGGGAAGGGAAGAGATCGCTCATCTTTCTCCTGTGGAGCAGTTCATAGATTCGAACTGGCACAGAGGTGCCATCTTTGGGTTAGCAGTTCAATTTCCTATAACCTGTGCCACATATTTTCTTAAATGCATTTGGAAATCTGAGTAAAAACTTGCTGGCTAAACTACCATAAAAAAACAAACAAATAAAGAATCCTTCTATCTAGTCACAGAAGCTATTCTCT